AGGGAATGCGAGTTCACTCAACTGTGGATTTGATTTCTTAATTTCGATTACCTAACACATCCCGAGAGGGCACTAAAAACACGATACAGAAAAAAAGGGCAGGGCCCTTCAAAACCCTAACCTCGGACACAAATCGAAAGAGAAGTTGTTTGACCAGTGGATGGAGGAGTACGCAATAGAAGGGGCATCATCGCATACTCAATCCAGTTAATCCCCCGCTTTTGTGGCACAGATCATAAAAACTACAAAAAATCAAATGAAACCCTTTTTCTCCCTCAAAGTTCTCTCTCTCTCTCTCTCTCTCTCTCTCCGATCAATGGAATTTTTATTGTATCCGCTGTATCTTTATGGGCGTTTATTAATTACCCATCGAGAGGAGGCAGCAGCAAGGCATTGATTTTCATGGGACAGACAGGCGGCACCTAAAGAAGTTTTCGATGGATAAATGAAGGCAAAGGCAGCAACAGCAGCCGGCCTCTCCTCTACTCCTCTCTTCTCTCCGCTGGTAAATGACATTATCCAAAGGCGTTGAATTAATTTGTGTCTCCACAGACAGAGAGAGAAATAGGAGTCGTCTTCCACAATCTCCTGAGTGTAGCGTCTTTCGATAAAGCGTTTAGTCCCCGCGTGATTGTCGTTTCTCCACTGAGATAAATCGTTTGTATCCCCTCTACCGGATTGTGCTTTCAACGCTGCAGCGGGCAAGCATTTCATTATTGATGATCGCCTGTCGGGCAAATGACCAAAAGCTAAAGATAAGAAAAACCCTCAAAGGGTACATTGTACATCAGAAGGCACTCCTCTCACTGTCTGCCTGTCTCTTGGGAGAATGAAACCTGAGAGAATGCAACCGAACTGCCGTTCGGCGTTCAGCGAGAGATAAGAAGACGTTGAAGAAGCTTCTGCCATTGAGGAAGGCCCTTTACAGAGTCTGTAGGATCTTAACTCCATAATGAGATTGACTTTGTGGTTTAGGTTTCCAGTGGAAGGCAAACGAAGGCAGCAAAGATGCTTGGGTTGGTTTTTTTTTCGGTAGGTGTGAATCTGCTGTGAGAAATTCCAGAGGCGATAAAGCGTAAGGTTTAAAAATTTAATTAAGCAAAAGCTGTGGCCCAACAGTAGTGCTTGGAGAACAGCGCAGGAGGCGGACACCAGAGTTCTCTCTGTGTCTCTCTGGAGAAGTGGCAGGAGAAGAACTTTAAGGATTGCAGCATTAAGTCCGTTGCCTTAATTGAATCCCACATCGAAAGGCGAGAATATGAGGCGTATCCTTCCAAAGATTTTTGAAGCGATTTCTTAGGTATTAAGCAGATGAAACAACAGAAAAACAACAAAAGTGAAAAGTGCAAAAAGGAGAGAAGAGGAGACAGAACAGCTCTGTGGCTTGTCTGAGCGGATTTAAGTCTTTAAAGCTAAAAGTTTCAATATAGATTCAACGCCAGCGTATCTGACAGAGCTGCAGGCTCTGTCTCTGTTGAGCTTATTGAAACTTGTTTATTTATTTGCGGAAATGATACCCCAACGATTGATTCTCACCTTTGGGGGCATCAATAAATCGCCTCAAAAATCACAAATTGCCTAATATTAGTGGGAAAAATTATACAAATACTAAACATTTCACCTTAAACTATCGAAAATCGTGCCCAAGTCGTACAATCAATCAACTATCTTTATTTTAAAATCTAAAATTACTTTCTAAAACTCCAATTAAACATCAAAAATCATCTTCAAAATACTTGTCCCGATTGAAAAATGAACCAATGACAATGCGGCCGCTAAACTTGCGGCCACTCAGGGCGCCCAGAGCCTTCTCGCTATCCTCGATGGTGGCAAAATGGACATACACCTTGCCACAGCCCTTGGGGGGAGCACCTTTGCCATGGGGGCGTGGTATCTTGAGGCCAAGAACCTCGCCGAATTTGCTACACTCCTGCTCGATGTCGGTGCGTATGTCCTCGTACTCCTCGTTGTCCAACAGCTCCTCCGGCAGCACCATATTGAGGAAGCAAAGCACTTGGGTGGCATTGTTCAGTGCCGTGGTGGCTGCTATGAAGGAAGTCGCCACTACGCCGGGCACTTGAATGGGTATCTGCTGGGTGCTTGAGTAGCGACCGCCGGGAATGGAGCGTTGAAGGACGAGGCGGCGATCGCCCAGCTGCATGCCATTCAGGCTGGCAATGACCTGCTCCGTGAGCGATGGATCGATGTACTCGAAGAAGCCGTACCCCTTGCTGAGGCTCGAGGCGGGGTCCTTGACCAGATTAAAGCCCCGAAGCTGGCCAAAGGACAGCAGCAGCTCCTTGATCTGCGTCTCGTTCAGGCAAGTGGGCAAACCGCCAATGTAGATCTTATTCGGCGAATCGGGAACGAGATTTGGGATGGCCTGGCTGCCCACTGCACCTGCTGCAAGGCCAGGGGAAACAGGTAGCTGCGATTTTCCAGCCCCAAATGAAGCCGATGAGGCACATCCAACGTTAACCACTGGATGATGATAGTCGTGTGGCCGTCGAATCTTCAGCAACTGTCCATGGAACGAGATGCCATCAAATTTAATAGCCTGCGTAGCCTCCTGCATCGAACGGAATTCAAGGAAGGCAAAATTCTTTTCAAGATTTGCCTGGCACGACAGCACTGCCTTGCCATCGAGACAGACCTGTCCGCCGCAGTCGTCCTCGAGCAGCAGCAGCTGCTGATTGAAGAACTCCATCATCTCTTCATCAGTGACGCCAAATGGGATGTTGCCCACGTAGAGCCGTCGCGCCTGTCGCGTCACCATAGCAATGGCCGCCGTGTCCGCTGTCGGCTGTGTGGGGGACAGAATGGGCGCCGAGATCTGGCCGCTGGCCTGCATGGCCTTGTACTGCATTGGAGTCAAATGGGCATAGCCCTCGGGCGGCACATCCCACAGGCTGGAAACGCCGCCACGGCGTTTTGTTGGATACTTCAAGGGGATTGGATTTGCCTTAGTCTGGAAACGGGTGGAACGATATCGGGTGATGGCACGTGAATGGGAACGGGAACGGCTACGGCTACGGGAGCGTGAACGATTTCTGGAACGAGGGCGCGTATAGCAGGAAACCGTATTTTTCGGCTTACTTCCACTGCGATATCTACGCGAAAGGCGTTGCTCACTTTTACGACCACCACCCATTGATAAATATCTCTATCCTCTTCTCCCTCTGCAGCAAGCTTGTTAGCTGCAAAATCACAAGATTTGTTGTGTGAAAATCTTCCAATGAAAACAATAAGATAATAAATATCTTACTCGTCAAACAGCAAAAGAATTTTCACTTTCACCTTTTTTGTCGTGCTGACAGCTTTCACAATGATTTGCACATATGTGTGAGGGGCTGAGACACAGGGTTGCAAGTGGTGAAACTTCAGACCCTATAGAGTTGTAGCCCACGATCAGGGTTGTGGCATTTCTTTTTGATTAATCGATTAAGAAATATCTTTAGCCAATTTAAACGACAATTAAGTCGTTTTGTTGTTGTATACGAAAATATCTCCAGAAAACGTATCTGCGGGTGCACCATCAGCGAATAATCATCATCATTATTGTTTCATCGTCGCTTCAACGTTTTCATAATTTCATTTAATATCCGCTAATCAATTATAATTAATTGGCAATCGGCCTTCACCCGCAGGCAGGCAGTTAGTCAGCCGCCGCAGCCGTAGCCGTGGCATGAAAATAGCCAATTTGTTAGAGAGATTGAGAGAAGAATGTTGTCTCTCGCAATGTGTGGTCCATGTCTTGCCCCAGGGGGGCAGGGCTGGCAGCCACAGCAGGGAGAGAGATAGAGCGTCCAGCGACATTCCTTGGAAAGGCACAACTTCATTGGGTTCCGATGGAGCAAGCGACTCAATTAATTCACATAAAGGCGACACAATAAAACTGTCAACTCAAAGGAGGATCTGGCATAATGAAGAGGGGATCGATCGAGGAATTCTTTGTAGACAGAATAGCGCTATACCTTCAGCGGGAACCCTCGTGAATCGTGTGATAATTTATGTCCCTCCAAGGCGATACTCAATCACCATTCGAATAAATGGCCTGCGGTCTGATGCGCGATCCTTTCAGGACCTTTAATGGTCGACTGTTTAATGGCTATTTGATGACATACACACACACGCAGACGATGATGATGGAGATGAGATCTATAGAGATCTACCATACGGGATGCAAATGCAATCTCTGTCCGGCATTAAGCCTCAAAAATAAATATATTTCATCCAGTGTCCAAAAACCAATTAATTCTTGTTCATTCGTTGGATTTTGTTGCCTCTTTTTTTTGTGTGTGTTTTGTTGCAAATGGCCAGGCCAGAACACAAGAGACACTGAGAAACACGCAATTAATTTGTCCATTTAAATTCAGGCAGTGAATGCTAACCCTCCGCGCCCCTCCCACGTTACCACATGCGCCACCATTTCATGAGGTTGAAGATGAGGTAACTCCACTGCTGCAGCACATGTCCCAAAAAATTCTGTACGTTTTTCGATCGGCTCACATCATTTGAGGAATCCATCCAGCAAAAAGGCCATAAATTAAAATCTCAACAACTCAATAAAAATTCATAGCAGATTGTGGCAGATTGTTTGGAGGGGGCAAGGCGACGTTTTTTGACCAAAACTTAAAATCAGTTTAAAGGCAGAAACAAAACAAAAACCGTACAAAAATGTAAAAGAGATACCCAAAAAGGAAGTTCTTTCTGTTTATAATAATCGATTCCAGCTTAATAAAAGTTCCCGAACAGTGTTGTGGAAAGTTGTACAACACTAAGAGCAATTTCTTTCCGTGCCGCGGGAGAAAGTGCTGCAACCCTATTTTAGGATTTTGCAGCAACTTTCACTGAAAATAAGTGTGGCCAAAAGGTGGCCAAATATATCGATATCTAATTCTTAGATTATTTATAATTAATATTCATATTTTTTTGAAATGCTACATTTAATTCTATTATCAAAATTTAAAACGATGAATTTCCATTTGTTTTACAGGCTATTTTTCTGCGAAGTATTCCTAACTAAGTAGTGGAAAATCTCCAATATATCTGCAATAAAAAGTAAGTCACGTTTTATATTTGATAACTATACACTATGAAACCTTGTGAAACCATTTCTCATTAGAAAACTGCCTAATATGCGATATTCTATGGTTGATATTTCGAGTAATATTTCCATATGTAAAAGAGAATTAAATGGAAACTGTCTATCAATCAATGGATTAGAGTTTGCATCTGGCATTTTTTAACAAATTATTTATTTTCTGAATGTAAATATCGTATTTTAAGAGAACAATTCCGTGAACTCCTTTGATTACAAATTCTGCAACTGTTGAAATTCGATTATATGCAGCATATTTGATAATGCATTCGGTTTTTTCATGGCATGTCCCACCCTCAACCGGGGTGCCCAACCGCCCACGGAATTTCTATGATTCATTCGATTCGCACGATTTACACTTCACTTTATGGGTCGTATTTCAGTTTCATTAATGAGATCCCACCACTCTAACTATTCCCTGGAATATAGACCCACTCTTTGTTGTGGTTCGCCAACAGATGACGCCACAGCGACTATTGAAAATTGCCAACAGTTTTCGGAGCAGGGAAAATATTTATTTATTTTGAATGTCCATAAATATTATGCTATGCAAAAAAGTTTGTTTTCGTTGCTGAAATGATGTGGCATATTAAACAGTAGGAGAGCAGGGGATAGGCGGGGATAGAGAATAAAAAGAGAGCAAGTGTAGAGGGATATTGTGACCGCACACGTTGAAAGGATGGACAGCACAGAATGGACTGCCCCAAAGTGAAACTGTTGGGATAGATTGATATTGACCAACAAACCCCGAGGCCGCTCGGCCAACAAACTGATTTGTTGGGTGAAAAATGACACAGAGTGAGGGAGAACGAAAGAGCGGCCGGCAGTTCCACGAATTTGGGTCCCAATAAAGATTCCCAAAAAAGAGGAATTATTTTTATAATGAAGTTTGGGTTTGATTCACTTTTCGGTGGTTTCCCACTCGATAGAAGAGGTGATAGTGGGGGACAGTGTTTGGCTCCAGCCACCAATTGATTTGTGGCCGTAAGCGTGTGAACGTGATTTTATTATCAAAATACGTCGAGGAGGAGCATTCCCCTCCAATATACTGTGTTAGTTTTAGTAAATTAAATAAATCATCGAATGGCAGGCAAACAGCAGCACAAACTATGCTTCTGTGTCAACGCAGAAATATTTCAATTTATTTTCTGATGAATCAACAGAAAGACATCAAAACAAAAAGCCATACATAAATGGGGGAGAAAAATATGACGATGGAAATGCAAATAACACACTAAAGATTTTTGCATACATTTTTTTGTGGCAAACGCATTTTAGCTAACTTTGTGGATACCCTGTAGCAAATATATTTGATTATTTACTTACTTATTCTGATAATTATTTCACTGTAATATTTTCCTGAAGATATTTAATTGAAATAGATTTGTAATATTTTAAAGAAATTTTAATCAACCCTCTCGTGTTTAATGTTTTAATATGCCAAGAATGTTGTAAAAATGTACACCCAAGGGTATCAAACTCTTCCAATCCCAAGAGCAGACAGGCATTCCTGTAGCTTCGTTTTTTTTTTTTACGTTTTTTACGATTCCCTGTGCCCCCTCCATAAATATCTCTCGAGTGCATCCGCAACTACTTCAGATTACAGATTTTTCAGCATAACAATTTGTGTGTAGCTTTTTTTGTGCTCTTTCTCTCTCTTTCGTATTTTTATGCAATTTCTCGACAATTTGTCGGAGGCCAAACCCGCCCGCCGCCCTCATGCAACTGTGTGTGCGTCGCATCCTCTGTCATTCTTGAGTTTTTGGGTGAGGAATTTGCATCATAAATTGTCAGCAATGCCAACAAATATATATACATACTATATATAAATTCTGTTGGGTCTTGTTTTTGTTTTTTTGTGGCAGGACAGTGGCAGAACGTTGAAATTCGCTTGGCTCTTCTTCAGTTCGTTTGAAGAGGTTGTGCTTTTATTTCCAAAAATTAATACACAAGAAAGATACTGTCCTTTCTCGGTCTCTCTCTATCATGTTCTCCCTCTCTCTCTCGCTTGGAGTGTGGAAAACAGGAAAATTTGCTAATGAATATTTTCTGCAAAAGTGCCAGAACGCGAGACAGGGGAAAGTCTGTTGGCAGCTTTAACATTTGTATTGGTTTTTCCTGGATTCAACACTCAAAATCTTATGGTCCATTGTCCTTTAAAAAGGGAAAAAATAAACTCTTGTTTGGCTACAACTTTGGCAGACAATCAAAAGCATTCCAGGTTATAGAATGGATAGCAAACTGTTGTTATTATTTTCTAACATTCCATTAACATCAGATATTATCTTTTCAAAAATAAAAACCCCACACAAAGAAAACATCTCATAGATAAAGAGATTCCGAAAGTCAACCCTCTGTTTCCCCCCCATATTTTGATGGCTGCTCCAATGTTTTATGTGAAAATTTCAATAACTATTCGATTTGCTTGTTATGGCTAGTGCATATGCCGTCCCAGAAATCCCGTTCCCCTTGGAGCTATGAACATTCGTGCAACCCCAAGCCAGACGGCAAGCCACAAATGCCATAAAATCTGAACATTATCCCCACACACCCCACCTTCTCTTGTGGGCGCTTTCCGCATCAGTGTCTTCCCCTACTTTTGTTGCATTTACACAATTTATTTGCTGTCCCTTTAACCCTAGAATACATCTCTCTTTCCCCCCACTCTTTTATTGGGAATTTAAACCTAGAATAACTTCGCCCCCTGTCTGTGTCCAAGGCACTAACCTAGAATGCTTCTTCCCCTCTCCGTGCTTAGGACTTAACCCATGAACGCTTTTCTGAAATTGATTTCAATGCAAGACTCACTCTTTGCCCTGGACTGCAGGAATTTATGTTTATGTTTGTAGCCCCCCCAGGGCCATTCTTACACCCAAGAAATCGGTTATAATTCAATAACGAGATTCCTTTAGCTTTGTTTTTGCCTCTAGAAAAGAGGGGAGAGGAACAGTCAAGGGGCATGCCATTTCCTTGCATTCAAAATCAATTCAGAATTTATGCATTTTGTGGTGTAATTTATTTAATGAATGTTTAATAATCTGTGCATTGGTTGGTTGGCTGCTTGGTTGGGTTGTTTTCTTGTGAAATTTATGACAATGGCAACGTTAATTGCCTGCCTGGCGCCCGATATATGAACGTACGATATATGTACATACGCCAGACGGCTAGGCGGTGGGGAGAAAGTGGGAGTAAAAACTCAGACTGCGACGCTGAGAGGGTTTAGGGGTGGAAAAGTCTCGGACAATGAAAGCGTAATAGGGGAGATACGAGTAATGTCAACGCGTCGAACACTCATTCTGTTTACATTCAATTTCATAAGTGGCTGGCAGACCAGTGAGTGCCAAAGGACTAGTAGGAGAAGGAGTCGGAATGGGAATAGTAGGATTGACCAGTCAATTGTTTACTCAAAGCTCAACACCAGCTCCATGCTCCATGCTCCATGCTCCATGCCAGTAATCACCATTCTCCCCCTTTCTTCAGTGACATGTTGAACACATTATTATTTCCCCCACTTCCTAGTCCCAGTTCCCTCTTTAACATTTATGTCAATTGTGTCTCGAAATTTAATGAGTGGAATATTCTTTAATAAATGAGGAAATAAGGGTTGATATATCCATTAAGTACTCAATTGAAAGCTTTAGGGAAATAATAAAACCTTTCCAAGAAAAAGAGTTTAAAAGTTGATCTTGATCTTGAAGCTTTAAGCACTCGCTCTCTCTCTCTGCATACCTCTCGGAAAGTCTCCCTTTGCTGGAAGGTTGCCCATCCATCAAATTTTAGTCACATTTTCCCTTTCATACACCCAAACAACTTCCACTTTAACGTGAAAGGAAAACCCATCACACAGACAGACAGATGCATCAGAGCAGTGTTGCATCAGCAGTTCATGTGCTCCACTAGATTGTAGAGAGTTGCCAGAGCTCCACTCCTGGGTGGACTCTGCTCCTGTCTCTCCATCAACCAAAAGGCGACACGACACTTGTTTGTCTAAACGCTGTCGCGTGGCAACCTCTGTGCACTCAACTCAGTGCAGGAATATCGCTGTGGCAGCATCTATCTGGGCTGTGTGACCTCATGATCTCTTGGCCAAGGCACAAATTTGTGGCACTGGTGGCTCAGTGCCTCAGTGGCAGAGAGTACAACTCGAAAGAGTATGATTTATGATGGCTCTACACATCATAAGCGAATGCGTTTATCATTTTTCACACTCTCTGGAATCCGTGGCTCAAGAGGGGAACTCTCTCACTCTCTCTCGCTCTCTGCCTTTGGCCATGTCTCTGAATTTGCAGCTTGGCTAAAAATCTTGCAACTGACGAGGCGACATTGACAAATGACAAAAAACACTGCCTCGAAGCCGTCCATCTGGCTCTGGTAGGGTCCGGGTCCGGGTCTGCTTCTGGGTCTCGAGTTTTGTACTGTGTCGAGCAGCCTTCAAGGCAATGTCTCTCTGGCGCTTAATTTGATCTCCAGTTTCAGCACGCGTATCCGGAACGTAGGATAGAATGCCACTCTAGCCGTGTGGCATCATTAAATATGCAATAGATTCTTTCTCCCTGCCACCAAGCAACTTTTTAAAGCATTCCGGCAGGCCAGTGACAGTCGGTGTCGCATAAATTATTCTGTTAACAAGTTGTGTCAACATCATCATTAACAACAACAACAACAACAAGAACAATAGCAACAACAAGAACTCCAGCAACAAGAGCAAGCCACACAAAAGCAACATCTCATTGTCTGAAATGTGAGACGAGACCCCAACGGATGGACGGACGGTCGGACACCGCAGCATCAAGTGAAACTTTTTCCTACTTTTCGTTTTCGTTTTCATTTCATTTTCGTCTCTTCTATTGGCTAATGGGAAACATGTGTTGTGTGGATCTACCGGCAGAGGGGCAACATTTGCAATAAAAAAACAAGAGAGAGAAAAGTGAAAAGCTTCTCTTGGAAAAGATGCAAGTTG